TCATGGGAGCCTTCCATTTCCGTTGAGGTCCATTACTCATACCATAGGTGGTACATTTCTTACACCAGTCCTTTACAACATCGGAACTGTTCATCCAATGAAACCTTTCACAAACTCTCTGAAGGATTTTCTTAATAAGGAGATATCCTCCTGATGGACTATCATGTAATTGACGAAGTAATTCGGCTATTCTAGTCTTTGGAATGACCAACTGTTTCAAAACCATCATCACTTTCAAGTACTCGTTTTAATACGCCTTCTTTCAGGATAAAAGAGTCCCACTGAACACCGAATATGACTTAACCACTAAAGAAGGATTTGATACTACTGGCCAAGTGGGTCGACGATTTTTTCTTTCCATTGTCGCATCTTTTTTAAAACGAGATCTGTCTCTTGTTCTTTTCTAACTTATTTTGGCAGGGGCCCATTCATCGTTGACTACAGTTGTTCTGAGTAGTCCATTTTCTTTGGATTCTGCTCTGATGCAGTGAGAGTACTCTGCTAAGCATGGTCTTCTAGAAAATGAATCGACATTTCTGTGGCTTCGATTTTAAAAAAGTACTTTTGAAGTCGTTTAACCCATCCGACGATTTGACCCTCCGGGTTCTTGAACTGCAGCAGCTGCATAATCGGTCCTCTCCTTCCATATAGCTATTGGTAGAAGTGTTCCACGTACTTCACAATTGCCAAGAGTTCTCGTTTCGTGACGCAGTAGTTTCGTTTAGGTTTGGGGGGCACTTTACTAAAATAAAACCGTACTCCTCCGATTCCAACATTACTGATAGTATCTAGAAGAAATTCTCTCTCTAGTAGCGGGTAGCTTAATATTGATGCTGTGTTAAATGCTTTTTTAAACTGTTAAAAGGCAATTTGGCAGTCTTTCTCCCAGGAGAACTCTCTTGATTCTTCTGTAAATCGCGTTAATGGCTTAGCTATACCTGCGAACTTCCTTACGAATCTTGGGTAGTAAGTAAAAAGACCAAGAAAACTTCTTATTGAATGTTGATCTTTGATTTGTTTTTAGACGTAAATGGACAAAATTTTCAATAGTTTCTGTAGTTTTATAAAAAAAATTGATTATTATTTCGATAATCATTTAATTATTGGCTTCTTTTTTTGTTGCAGTATCATTTCGAGCTAATAAACTTTATTTACAATGAAATTGTCCAGTAATAAATGTCATTCTGCGAAAAATGGCTAAAGGTCCATCCCAAATACTTAAATTTAACAGCAAACTACGAATTATTATTTCTCGATGGCTCGTTATAATCAATGGTAACGTCAGTGATCCAAACCAATCCATCATTAATTTTAACTTAAATGTTTTTTGAGTTGTTTTAATGTACAGATGACAATTTAAAAACATACAACGCCCCTTTGGTGAATTATAAAAGCTCAATTAGCTTTTTGGGAACCGCAACGAGGGTACGTCGATCCGCCTCCTTCCCTCTAGGGGTTTTCATAATTTAGAAATACCTTTCAAAAAATGTAATACCCGACACCAGCACGTATATCATTGTTCTCTACTAAACGGAATTCCATGTGCAATCATGTAAAAATTTTATTAAATTCATTTAACCCTCCTGTGTTGCACGTGTTGTATATAAAACAAAACCAAAATCTCTTTTGTCAACTCAACAATGATGTGAGTAATGTATTACAGTAAAACATATATACAGTTTATTCGAATTCAAAAGCAACCATATTTTTCAATTTATGCAGTGACCCAAATAAATTTTATTTTTACCAACTCCCCAAATCGGTATTTATACTTTTTTTTTTTTGTTTGAACTGAAATTTGAAACATTTAGCTAATATTAATTAATATATTTTAAAGGTTATGTGTTATGTGCTCCGACAATTAATTTATCTTTATGATTTTAACCTATAAAGTGCTTTGGTAAGTTTTGATAAATTTTATATATCCTAAATGCCTTTCAAAAGTATATACTAAGTGACGAGCCGCCACTGTTATTAGCTATAAACAAAATAACTATCACAAATAATAGTTTTTTTAAATTTAAAGTATAAGTTCTTTTTATTTATTTTAATAAACAATATAGAAACGGTAGTTCATGCCGATGACATATTTAAACATACAAAATAATTAATCATTTTTACAAAATATTATTGTACTGAAAATTGAAGATATCGCAGAAATTACCATTTCTGTCATAAAATAACTTTCAACTTTTACTAGAGTAATTAATAATAATGTAATTTCACAGAACATTAACAAGAAACAATGCAGTACGATTGGGTAATAGTTAATAATAATTAGTTTCATAGTTCAGCGTCAACATCTAAAATTCTACAACGCATTGCAAGATGAATAAAGACCTTTAGAGAAAAGCTCATTAATCATTGTAGGGTTGTTTTAAACACAAATTCAGTGTTAATAAATATCCTTATGTCACTCAAACGACAACGTTTGTGAATAAAGATTTCACTTATAACTAATTAACTCCATTTAACAATGGCCTACAAACAATTCTGAATAGGTAAAGCAATGAATTCAATTAACCTAGAGCTTTCCTAATTTATAGAAAAAAATGAGGTTGAATCTGAAACGTATTTAGAGATTAATTATTTAAAGAAGAATATCACAATATTACCGTACAATCAAAAAGTATATTTAGGGCCAGTTTTTTTCACCTCTGAGTAAAGTTAATTGAACAATATGGCTATTTTTTTGTTAATCTGTCAAATAAATCTACATTTAACCTTACTCAACGGTCAATATTTCGGTCCCAAGTAATGGTATTTGAACTAATAGACGTCAATAAAAGCTAATAGAAGCTAATAGAAGCTAATAGAAGCTAATAGAAGCTAATAGAAGCTAATAGAAGCTAATAGAAGCTAATAGAAGCTAATAGAAGCTAATAGAAGCTAATAGAAGCTAAAATAAACTAATAGACGCTAATAGAGACTAATATAGGTTAGTATAAGCTAATAAAACCTAGTAGAAGCTAATAGAATCTATTAGGACTTAATATAAGCTATTATAAACTAATAGAAGCTAATGGAAGCTAACAGGCGCTAATAAATGCTAATATAAAATAGTAGTGACTTTAAAATTAATTCTGATGCCTTGGTAGAATTCCTCACTCGACTATTCGCTGTTGGGTTCTAATTAAAAGTGCTGTTCCTGAAGTGGCGCTGGGAAACAGTAACAAAGCCTATACAGAACACGAGGGTAATGACCTTAGCAGTCGATGCCGATGACACCAAATTAAAAAAAAAAAACAAGGTAATATTAGCTATAACGTATTTAGTGATTAATTATTTAAAGATAATGATAAAATATGATTACAATATTACCGTATAATCAAAAAGTATATTAAGGGTCAGTTTTTCCACCTCTAAGTAAAGGTGATTCAACTATATGTCTATTTTCTGTTAATTTGTCAAGTGAATCTACATTTAACTTTACTCAACGGTGAACATTTCGGCCCTAAATAAAGGTATTTGAACTAATAGATGGCAATAAAGGCTAATAGAAGCTAATAGAAGCTAATAGAAGCTAATAGAAGCTAATAGAAACTAATAGACGGTAATAGAAGCTAAAAGAAGTTAATAGAAGCTAATAGACGCTAATAGAAGCTAATACAAGATAATAGTGACTAACTTAAGCCAATAGAAGATAGACAATAATAGAAGCTAATAGAAGATAGAAAATAATAGAAGCTAATATGAGCTAATAGAAGCTAATAAGAACTAATAGAAGCCAATAGAAGCTAATAGACGGTAATAGAAGCTAATAGAAGCTCATAGACAGTATTTTAAGAGCTAAGGGCTACAAAATTGCTTAGATGGCCTAATCCATGTTCTTACAATGATTTGTGAATTTCTCCTAGCCATAGCTTATTATTCCATTAATGTTTAACGTTTATCATTTATGCAGCTCCGTAGTTAGATTATTTAAGGTCTAAAAATATTTTGTGCTTTTAATAAAAATTGTAGTCACAAGTCTACCGAATATTTTTCTTCTGCAGTTGCTCATAATTTAAATCTTGCTAAATTATATTTAACGTTTTTATAAACGCCCCGATTGACGTACATATTAATTAATATTATGCTTAGAATATTTGAATAAGTTAGGTACTATATTTTTTATACACCCACATGTATATTATTTATTTTATACACAGACTACAAAACGAAAAAGTAGGCCATATTAGTCTACTGAACGGATATAAATTGATATCCATTCAAGTAAAGACATTGTACGGATATGAAATCCACCAATCACAGTTCATATTTGGAAACCAGCCTACTTATCTTTTTTTTATTGAGTAAAAATATATAATTATTGAGAAACACTGAAGATCAACTGTTTTGTTAGAATTTAAGATTAAAGAATTGTTACTACACCAACTTGCAAAATCATAAACTACTGAATGATTCTTCTGATACAGCTTTTAGATGCTAAAGCATGTTAAGGAAGATAATTAACATAATTAACAAAAATATTAGCGGTTCCAAAACTGAGCCTTGTGGTACTCCTCGGCTTATACTTTTCAGTTTTGATTCATAATTACCCACTTTAACACATATCTGACGCTTATCTAAATAAACCTGTGCCCCTGAAAACTAATATTTGTAATTTATTTTGCATAATAAATATGTTAATTTTTTAAAACTTTAAGACAAGTCAAATAGTTTTTTTATCTTAATAACCCCAAATTAATTTTTAAATTTTGTTGATTTACTTTGTGGATTGTAGAAAAATTATACTGTATAACTCAAGTGGATTGTCTATATTGCAGTAAGACTTCGTCTGAGTGCGATCATATCCATTCTTGTTGCACAAACTACAATTTATACTCATATTTTGCTATAAATGAATACTATGTAGGCTTCACTCGCTACTTGGAGGTCGAACGATTTCTGCAAATTTGTAGCCATATTTATCTCCTTTTCTCAGGTATATTAAATAAAGATACCTTTCAAGTAGCAAACCAAGTCTATATATTTGTTAAACAATACTTAATACTTACTTGCATCTTCATTTACAGCTTCAATAGCTAACGGCAAGGCTCCAAGCATAACTTGAGCTTGTCTATAAGCACCCAGGAACCCGATTGTCACAGATTCACTGAAATTATGAGCTCCAGTTCCAGTCAAATACTCGTAGAGAACGGAATAGTTCGAAATACTTTTCTTCTCATCATCGCCTTCTCTTGTAGTCGAACATGTAACGTCACTGTCGGTATACGAAACGTTTTTGGTAGCAATAGTAACGTTTATTATTGTTATTATTGTCAACGTAAATTTTTTTATCACAATTGATTTTAACGCGATAAGTTTCATTATTATTTTGAACTTCTATATGAAGTTCTTATATATAAAAATTCATATTAATTGGTTGTTTCATATTCAACGTTTAACCTGTAATATTAGTAGTAGCAGTATTTTTTCTACGACTATAATACAAAACTTTTTTGACTAGGAAATTAGTTAATTATCATGTAGACCATGCAATGTCAGACATTGAAAAACCATCTATAAGAGAACATCATATTAATTTTAAGGTTATAAATAAAAAATATTTACAAGCAGTGAAAGTGTAAATTAATATAATATAATATAAATCTGACATGCACCAATTTAATACTAGAAATATCTAAAGTAAAATATAAAAAAGAATACTAATATTTTACTGCATGGAAACTGCACCAAATTTTTAATATTATTATAATTGTCATAGTCGTAGAAAAAGTATAGTGTTAAACTTGCAAGAAATGCTTATTTCCTACTCAAATGTATTTTTTTAGAACATTCTCTTGCGGCTCATAATGCAAATATCATACTCGTTAAACAGTACATCATTTTAGTACATTCATTCGTATCCTATCTATTTTCTGCACAAACCATAGAGGAGAAGGTGCAAATATGGAATACCATTTTATTTATAAATCTTCTAAACGAATAGATAAAACAAACCTAGTTTGGTGGGGCTGGACATAGACTGGACCTAATATAGTTAGAGGGATAAATGTATGTAATCAAATTTAAGGTACCTAAGCCTAACATTGAAAGAAAAATGTAAAAAAATGTCAAAATTACCACTTGAAAATATGGAATACCTTTAAAAAATAATGAATAATTTTATTAGTTACAGGATTTTTTTAAATAAAAACTGAAAATAGAACACAATACAGACTAATTGCACCAGTCACAAACAAAATTGTCTTTCTCGGCAACTGTGAACTCATTATGAGCCCAGAAGGAGCACATGATACACTGGACCCACACCTTACCAACTGAGACTTGTTAAAAACTTTTCGCCTCAAAAAATAGACTGCATCATTATCGTTACGATTGCAGTATCTTCCAGTATCATCAAAAGTGTCGTCAGAATGATCTGCTGGATTCAAATCGCCATTCCCCATAGATTTTTCTTCTAATGAGGAGTCTTCTGGTGGAGCTTGCGTTTTATGTTTGGTTGCTTCTTGGGTGGATTTTTTAGGTTTCCTTTAGAATCCTCAAGATTCAGATTTCTTTTTTTGTTATTTATGGACTCATTGGGTTCATCTTTATTAGGAGATGATTTAATCATAAAAGCTCCGATAATTTTTAGTCCCTTAGAATTTTTCGCTTTGAGAAAGATCCAATATCAAAGGGAGACAATTGTGACACTTGCTTTGGACTGTGGCCAGAAATTTGAAGAGCGAAATTTTTGTTTTTAATGATTTCGGACATGAATACTGGTTTATGTCGGGAAAGTATCCTGGGATGGTGTTGCATCTAAAATATTTGATGTAAAGACGAAGAAGCTTCAACTTGATCATTCAGAACAATTCCCCCTTTAGCTGATTCCTGTTCTGCTACTAAAAAGTCAGCGTTTGAGAAAATATTTCTAGATAACAGTAACTTTAAAATCATTTGCGGCTACTTCACCAGTCTGAACTTTAAGGTATGCCCTGCCAAACATTTCCACCACATCAAAAAAATTTTTGTAAAGGATCCATTCTCTTATCTCTTCACTATAATGGATTTTTAATGGACCCTGAATAAACTGTTCAAAGTAGGAAAATACACAATGACTGACTATGTAGTTCTATCTTGAAAGGTCTTTAACGTCAATATTACCGGCAGGAGCGGTTTTTCCATTAGTTCATTTGTGCAGTGAACACCCAGTTAAATTTCATCAAAATACAATATTTTAATATTACATAAATAACATAAGAATATAAATTTAATTTTAATATTTTTATTTTCATACGTGTTAATCTATATATTTTGGTACATCATTGCCCTCTGGCTAATCGCGTCTCTGTGGCACAGTATACCTAAGTATACTGTGTCTGTGGTACATTATGATAAGTGAGCCTAACACGAGTGAGACGATTTGGCGAATGTATATAGCTAAAAAGAGAAGACAACACGCCAACAGATCCTTCAAACTGCAAAATATCACACTAATTGGCACGCCGCTTACAAACAAGGTTGCCAAACCAGTGTTGCCAGTCTAGTACAATTCACAATTGTACTAGATGTAGTACTTTCTGCATGCATCAGTGTTCACGTGTTTTGTTTGGGTTCTTTATCAATAAAGACCCCCTTTTTCCCTTCAATGAATTAGATGTCACTGCAAATAGAATTTGAAAAATCTGATACATTTAAGGAATCTGGTACATTTTTTAGACAAATCTGGTACATAACAAGAACATATTCTGGCAACACTGTACCAAACCAAACAAACTGTAATTCCGTCTTCCGTCATTCCTCTACTACGAAACGCTTTTAATAAAATTAAGATTATTTTATTTGTGATCATTTAAAAAAATGTGTTTAATTGAGAACTGCAACCTTAATAAATTGGAAGGATGGGTGTCAATTTAACAATTGTTCCCGAAAAACTACTTTAAGGCAAGGTAAATAACACTTTTTAAGGTTATGTTGTAAAAAATATTACAAATGAACGATCTTTAATAAATATTTAATGTTTTATATTAATTTCATGCTACATAATTACATATTCTTCAGTATCAGAGAGTAGCCTTTCTTTTCTTTTTCTTTATTAGTCTTGTATTTTATATTTTTATAATTTTTATTATTTTTGCTATTTATTATTTTTGCTATTTTTATAATTTCTGCTAATTTTTATTTTTATAATTGTTTTGATTTTTGTATTTCCATATTTCTCTATCTTTTTCTTTTTTTTTTTATTGTATTTTAAAATTCTAAATTCTTTGTTTTTGTTTCTATAGTATATACTTAGATATAATTTAAACAGCATTTATAAAAAGTTAAAAGAAACTAATATAAAGATTCCGCACACAAACTTTGTTTAGACGGGTCTTAAAAAATCGTTAAAAAAATGTAAATTATTTTAATGAATAAATTTGATTTGATAAATTTGATTTACCTATAATAAAGTTTTACGACTGTAATTTGTTTTATATTTTGTTTCAGTGTCTAAAACTATCCAAAGACTACTTCAAAATGGTCTATTTTGTGCCCAATTGTAAATACTATGAAGTAAGAAGTAAGCAAAAAATTTGTAATTTTTTTCCCCACAAATCCCGCTAAAAGGAAGAATTTCAATTATTCTGATAAGGTAACTACTTGACATCATTATGGAAATGGAAATGTAGAATAAAAGTTTGATAAAGATAAAGAGACAAATGGTTTTTCACTTTAAAAGTCTGAATCGGAAAAATAGATCAATCAGTTAATTTAATATACTCGATGAGAAATTTTACCTAAGAAATGGTATGTACATTTAAATAGTTTACCTATATAAAGTTATGTTTGCCTGTAATTATCAATCGTGTTACCCTCTAACCTAGATCGTTTGTTGCATACAAACCAGAAATCGTTTATTTTAATGACATTTTTTTATTGCCTTGTTTGTGTAATTTAGTATTTTTAAAAATATTAGATGTTATGGTAATTTGCAGGTATTAAATAAAAATAATGCTATTGGTTAATTAGTTTACAGTTAATATTTCAAACTTTTAGTATCCTTTGTTAAAAGAAGTTGAATATTATTATTGTTGACCTTTTTAAATTGTTTATTTTACCTTATACATTTTTTTTTCTACTCTTTATACAGTATTCTGTGAAGAGTTTACTTTGTCCGTCTGTCCGATGTCACGGTTTTTGTCAAAAACGAGAAATGATATCAACTTGAAAATTTTAAGCAAAAATCAAGCTCTATAAGCAGACAAAGCCTATTGATTTTTAACAAATCTGATTAAAAATAGGGGGTTAAGGTGGATTGAAATTAAATAAAAAATCCTAAATTAAAAACGAAAAGCGATATCAACATGAAATTTTTAGTAAAAATGAAGCTTTATAAGAAGATAAAGCCTATTGATACTGAAAAAAATATTTAGGGTTAAGGAGGTCTGTTTTAGATACGATGTTTAAATATTAAAGTTTGGACTCCGGTGTCGTAGAGTCCTCCAATTGAAAAATTACACTCCCTAGCCTGAAAAGGTTTTGTAAACCGAGAAGGAAAGAAAAAATTATTTTTACACAAATATGTATTTATTGGTTGTGATTTTGGAGGGTATGAAGGAAAATTTTTGTACACTTGGTATAGTGGACATTTTTTCACTCGGAAGACTCTATGGTACCTACCCTTAGACTCCAATGAATGCTGTCCATTGGCGAAATATGAGAATTAATTGAAGATACTTACTATGATACTTATTATGACTTATTATGACTGAATGCAGTTTTGCATTTTTGTTGACTATTTTGTTACAGCATATCAATATGTTTCGAGTGGTACCTGATTCTAATTGTTAATTACTAAGTTTAATTAAATTAAAATGGCAGGAAATCCTTTTATACAACTATTGTTATTTTAGTTTTACCGACAAAATTCACAAAAGTATTTGTTTTTAATTTTAGAAATTCTCTAGCAAAATAGTTGTTTTAATCGCTGCACATTTTCTTGGAATCTCCAAACTATTGAATTAAACGTAGACTACAAAATTAGATCGAACTTAAAAGTTTAAGCAATCTCTCCTCATTGTAAGAATCTTTGGTAAAAATTACTTTCCGAAAGTTTAAATGTGATGTGAATTTAAAAAGATTCAAAGTCGTTAAAACAAACTAACTAAACCAATATTCTAAATAGATTACAAAAGCGTGAAACGTTCATAAGAATGAAAGCCGTTTTTTTTTTTAATAAAAGTGACGAATTTGGCACAGAAACTAAACCATTTATGAATTTATTTTTTATACAAAATGGCAATATTGTTGGGTATCTTTAGAGGGCTCTAGAAAAAAATACACTGTAGAACTCAAGTGAATTTTATGTACCTAACGCACTAATTATGTATTCAGATGACTGGGTTTTTATAGATTTAAGTTGAAGTAATTGTTATAA